ACTTCTTTGAAGGAAAAGGTGGGGACTTTTGACTGTCTTAGAGGTCCTAGACAATGGCTGGCCTGTAGAGCTTGTCTAGTAACAGTTATAATCACAAATTATAGTTCTATAAGCAACTCTAGCTCTAAACTACTGGCTTGTTGAAACAAAGACTCTTTGCTAATCCTCATTTAATCCTCAAAATAGGTCAATTTTTGCTGCCTCCCCATTTTGCAGACTGGCAACTGCAGCATGCAGAAGCTAAGTGTCATGGCTGTGATCACCCAAGTTGTCAGGTTGGGCAGGTGAGCTTCAGATGCAGGTGGGTTTACCTCTACTGTGGGAACTCTTCCAAACCTCTTTGGAATGACAGAAGAATAAATGCACCCACACTGAATTTTATGTTTATAGTCACCTGCAGAATGTGGGTGGCTAATTATAGCTTGGGCTGAATGTAGATACCCACTGGTCCATGGACTAGTGTCAGCTCAGGGCCAAGGATTCACCAAATCTTTGTATGAGGGAAATTGTAAAATAAAATTAAGTCTCTTCAATTACAGAACTACCTCAACTATGAACCTGTGGACATAGTTGATAGTCAGGTGATCTTTCATGAAATAATGGTAACAATAACTGGTGGTTGTTGTGGTGTTAAACATTCTTACTTGGCAGGAGAGATGGACTGTACTGAGTTGGAATCCCCATTTTTTAAAAAGACTATTAAATTTCAATGTCCGGAAATGACTGTTTAGAGAAATCAGGAAGCAATAAACAGCACAGCCTTTACTTGAGAGCATGCAAGCAGGTGCCTTTAGTGAATGATTTTGAGACTGCAGTAAAAATTCCTGCTCATAAACAGCCCCTTCTTTTTTTTTTTTTTCATTTTTCTTTTATTATTCATATGTGCATACAAGGCTTGGTTCATTTCTCCCCCCTGCCCCCACCCCCTCCCTTACCACCCACTCCACCCCCTCCCGCTCCCCCCCTCAATACCCAGCAGAAACTATTTTGCCCTTATCTCTAATTTTGTTGTAGAGAGAGTATAAGCAATAATAGGAAGGAACAAGGGGTTTTGCTGGTTGAGATAAGGATAGCTATACAGGGCATTGACTCACATTGATTTCCTGTGCGTGGGTGTTACCTTCTAGGTTAATTCTTTTTGATCTAACCTTTTCTCTAGTTCCTGGTCCCCTTTTCCTATTGGCCTCAGTTGCTTTAAGGTATCTGCTTTAGTTTCTCTGCGTTAAGGGCAACAAATGCTAGCTAGTTTTTTAGGTGTCTTACCTATCCTCACCCCTCCCTTGTGTGCTCTCGCTTTTATCATGTGCTCATAGTCCAATCCCCTTGTTGTGTTTGCCCTTGATCTAATGTCCACATATGAGGGAGAACATACGATTTTTGGTCTTTTGAGCCAGGCTAACCTCACTCAGAATGATGTTCTCCAATTCCATCCATTTACCAGCGAATGATAACATTTCGTTCTTCTTCATGGCTGCATAAAATTCCATTGTGTATAGATACCACATTTTCTTAATCCATTCGTCAGTGCTGGGGCATCTTTAAACAGCCCCTTCTTACTGTGCCAGGCTTACTCTGAGCAGCCCTTGGTAACTGCACCCCACATCCACAATAGGAATACTCCTTTGATTTGAGCAAAATGGTCCAGGACTTTTTCTTGAAAAACATCTGTTCATATGGGCACCTTGTGAGGGTGGACTGGATTGAAGAGGCCCTTGGGTGTGGTGTGTCTTGCCACCAACACAACATCTTAACCCACTCAGAATGCTATCGCAAAAGAGTTTAGACCAGGTTAACTTATTGCTGACAGCTCTGGAGACTGGGAAGGCCAAGATTAAGGCATTGTTAGATTCAGTGTCTGGTAAATGGTCATTCTCTTCAAAGATGGCAACTTCTTGCTGTGTCCCCAAATGGTGGAAGGGACAAGATAGCTCTTTAGGGCCTCTTTTTTAAGGACACAATGCCATTCATAAGGGTGGAGTCCAGTTGACCTAATCACCTCCCAATGGCTCAACCTTCTAATGCCATCAATGTGGAGGTTAGGTTTTATCATAAGAGTTTTTGGGGAATAAAAACATCAGACCACAGCACACAGATCCCATAATTTTCTTGTGAGGGATAGACAACATTCATTTCTAGAGGGTTAGAGCCAGGCAGCTAGAATTTCTAGGCAGGGGGACAGATAAGAGATGAGGTGTGAGAGAGGCTGAAACACTGTCTAAGAAGATGGTAGGTATATAGCTGAGGGAACATAACTAGCAAAAACAATTCTTAAATAATGAGAATGTCCAGAGTAATGTTGAACATGAAGATGATAAAAGAATGAGGAAGGTAAATTTTACCTGTTGATCTACTTTGAAGCAAAAACTCACAGCAAAATAAATATAAAAACCACACAACCCCCAAATTCCCATGATGTCATCTGAAATGGACTACTTTCCACATGGAAGTGGCAGATGAGCTGATGAAATTCTCCTTATCTCTCTAATTCAGGAAGAGCAGGGTCACAGCAGTGTTTTTCTCTCCATATTCATATTATCTGGGGATTAGAATGATTGACAAAATAAATACTGGTAATCACAATCTTTTCTTTATCCACATTTCACAGCACGTAGACCTACACGATTAATTAATCTGGTACCAGCGACTACAAAAAGAGTCTCCTTGTAGAAAGCGGCAGATCACAAACTATAATGCCCAGTTATGCACTAACCATGACCTAGGAAGGGCTTGGTGTGTGGTTCACCTCATCTTTATTGCCCCCAGGCGAGTCAGGCATCATTGTACCCAATGAACTCTTGACACATTTTATAACCAACACTATTCATCATTGTGGTAGTAAAATTACCCCTCATTGCTAAGTAGCTCAAAAGTTAAAAAGCTACCTTTGTAAGGTAACAAGCGTTAGGACAACCTCAGAAAGATTGTGTATGATTAAAGCCACTTAAACTATCTTGCTATGTAATGATTTATTATGTCTGTTGTGTAATGGCTTTTTTTTTCTGAACCAGATACTATTGAAATTAACAATGATAAAATATCAAATCTGGTAACATTTTACATCCATCAATTTTTCAATAACAATAAGGAGACAAGGATTTCTGGCTGGCAAAGGAGAGAGTGATCCAGGAATATTTCACTACTGTGAGATGTGACCCAAGAATTGAGCCTAAATTTATAATAATGTCTTTATTGATTTGTAGGGGTTGGTGGGATTGAAGTATTTGTAGTTTTTTTTCCCTTGAAACAGGGTCTCACTATGTAGGCCAGGCTGGCCTTAAATTTATAATCCTTCTGCCTCAGCCTCCTGAATACTAGGATTACAGCTGTGTGCCTACATGTTCAGCTCAATACTAATTTAGAATTAATTTTTTTTTTTGCAATGCTGGGATGTAGATTTTGAGTATAAGTGGCTCTCATTTCAAAACATCAGGCAAATACCCTCAATGTTTGTTTCTGTGGAAAGAACTTGAGATTAGGTGATGTGCTGACAAGTCAGATGGAGCCTCTGTTCTTATGCCCCTTAACAAGGGGTGTAAGGTTATATGTGCATAACTCTAGAAAAAGGTTGAAAATGATGAAGTGCTGGACAGAGATACAAAGGAAGTAAGAGGGGTTAGAATGACTGACATGATAAACATAGGTAATCATGGTCAGCTGTGTTTCTACCAGCTGGACTGAGGAGGGCAGCTTTGTGGATCACGAAGGGTTTGCGTTGAAATTTCAGGGGTAGGATCCAGGAAGATGACCTGAAAACATGTGCTACTTAGCAATTAAGTTTAGGGTAGTTTATGATGAAGGAAGGTGCTTCTCTCTCTCTCTCCTTCTTTAGCGAGGGTCTTACTTTAGAGTCCAGGCTGACCTCAAACTTGAGATCCTACAGCTCCTGCCTCCCAAAGGAAATGCAATTCTTTAAGACAGAGCAGCATGAGTATGAAAGCTTGGGGCTTTTTCCCTGGGATGCTTTGGGGTGGATGGAGCAAAAGATTTCCTGTGATGTGCAGTAGGGTGTTTGGTTGGAAGACCCAATGTATTTAGAATGTGGGAAGCTTTGAAAACCAGATTTTAATTCTGTGTGTGACTGTTGGAGACACTGTTTGTTTTTCTACCCTTTTTTTTGCTAACAGAGTTATAACAATTGTTGACTGCTTTTTATAGGATGTGTTTGCCTAGAGAAATGGGCAGCAGCTGACTTGTCATTTATGTGGACATCCCTAGAAACAGAATGGAAGGGTTGGAAGGAAAGACTCAAGATAGCTAAAAAATCAAAATGAAGGCCATGAAGGGTGGTAGCAATAGGACACGCCCCAAAATATGCATGAAATCATTTTACAAAAGCCTGGAAAGACGCTAACATCCTGACCATTCTAGAATGATAACTACATATTTATTTTGATAAATGGATGCTTAACTCCATACAGGATGCTTCTTGCTTCCCTATTCATGGTGTGTACTAACCAAGGTAACCAGATTCTGGTCATGTGCTTTGACCTGTATCATTGGAAGCACCCCCCACTCCAAAAGCATCACCAGTCACATTAAATGTAAATGAGCTGTAAGGGATTGAAAAGATAATGGTCAAGTCCTAAATTCCAATACCGCGATTATTATCCTTTTTGGAAATAGGACCTTTTCAGATACATTCAAATTAAAATGAGGTCTTGCTAGAATAAGGTGGACCTTAAGCCCAATGACTGGTGTCCTTAGAGGCAGGGAGACAGTTAGATGCAGACACACACAGAGGGAAGATGACCACGTAATGACAAAGGCAGAGATAGCATTATGTACCACAAGTCAAGGACTGTCAAGGATAGCCACAGTCATCCAAATCCAGAAGAGGCAGGAAAGTTTCCTCCCAAGAGCCTTCCAAAGGATTGTGGCTCTGCTGACACCTTTTTTCCCTGTACAAATGGTAAATTTATCAGTTAAAAATAAATACTGCATTTGTAAAGAACCTTCCTTCTGGTAATTTTCACACTTCATTTTATTCCCCCATACCACAGCGACACTGAGAATAAGGAAACAGAAGAGTGTATGGCTTTTATGCATTTAGCACTATGGCACAGCTAGTGTGAGCAGCCTCTCACCATGGTGGCTCTGAGGAGGCAGAAGGATCATTTATTGGTAAGACTTTTACTTTAAGCCTCAGTCTACCTTCTGGGAAAACTTGGGGTGATGCCTATGGCTTCTTGGCCATCTGGTTCTTCAGGGGTAGGACAGGACTTTCACAAGACAATTCTTCTTCTGAAGATGGGAAAGGCCTCAATTAAATTTGCATGCCAGCTGGCAACCCACTCTTTTGGTAGATCTGCCAAATACATGGCAGGCAGGATACTCACCATCCCCAATGGCTTCCTCCCACCTGTGCAAGTTAGTCTCTGGTTAGCAGTGTCCCCCAGAGTGGACCATGATATGGAGAGTCCTTTCCAGAGGGGCCCTCCCACAAGGAAAAACACTTGTTATTGTCTTGGTTGGCTAGGCTCCATGGGCTTCTTCCTGCCCTCACTCAGTACTAACAGCTTTAATCTTTCTCCTTGCTTGCACTAAGTTCTTCAAAGACTCCTGTGCTTGCCAATGGGATACAACTCAAGCTTTTGTGTGCACAGACCAAAGCCTCTGAAAACCCAGCTTCCTTCTGTAAATGATGACATTCATTGTGGCCCAGGAACCACAAAGCCTTAGCGCACGCCATATTGGATGGATGCGTGATATGCTTTTCAGGCTGTAAGACTTTTTTTTTAAAAAGACATCCAAGAATGCACCTAGTCAGACGAGTGTTGATTCTGAAGCAGGCTTCTGGAACTTTCAACCTAGTCCAGTGCTTTTGCCACAACACGCAGAGCTTGGGAGTCCTCTTTGGGACATCTTTAGAGCCTGTGAGAAATTCACTGGAACATGTTCCTGAATGGTAAAACACTGATTTTTGAAACAGGCTAAAAATGTTTGGATAAGAAACTGGAAAATACCATCTTGGACCATCTAGATGAGGAGTGACAATGAGTAATAATGTTGAGAGCCAATGAGAGGGCCATGCTGGAGCAATGGAGTCCTCCTCTCCAAGGCCAGATCTGACAGTCTAACTTGCAGTCCAAGACTTTGTGCTTTATATAGTCATATTGCATACATGGACTAAGAATTAGAATGCTTTCTTGGGTGGAAAATATTTTATGCCCTCTTGCTAAAGTCAAGTACCTCAAGAAAAAAATGTTTAAAAGCAAGGATTTTCCTTCAAAGTCTTTTTGTATGTTTGTACTGGAGTCTGAACTCAGGCAGGCACTCTACCTCTTGAGCCATGCCTCCAGCCCTTTTTGCTCTGGTTATTTTTGAGATAAAGTGTTGTTTTTCATCTATGATAGCATGCACCCCTATCCTCCTATTTATACTTCCCAGTAGCTGGGATGAGAGATGTATGCCACCACCTCCAGGTTTTTCCATTGAGATGGGTTCTTGCAAACTTTTTTTGTCCTGCTTACAGGAGCTGTGATCCTCATTATCTCAAGTAGTTAGGAAGCAAGTATGAGCCACCACCCCCAGCTGAGGGTGTTTTGAGGATCAAGTGACAAACACATAAAAAGACACAATAGGTACATAACGAAAGCTATCTTCTCAAAAATTGAGAATGGACGGCGGGGGTGGGGTGGGGTGGGGAGGAGGACGGGGACGGCGGGGAGGGGGGAAGCGGGGAGAAATGACCCAAACATTGTATGCACATATGAATAAAAGAAAAAAAAATGGAGGCTAACATTTCAGGTGTTTTAACTCTAAACTTCTCCTCTGGTCTTCTTTCTAGGGTCTGTAATGAAACCAGGAAATAGGCGATCCAGCTGTGAGAATGCCAACACGATGGTACTGGCAGACTAAGAAGGCAAAGGATTCAGGTGAAATCTCATGTTTCAAGTTATAAGACCACAATGGCTTGAGTTCTAGCACCCAGGGTGTTGAGGAATACATTTCTGTTGTTTTAAGTCACTGAGTTTGTGATAACTTCTTATGGCAACCCTGGGAAACTAAGACATGGACCAAATACTGCAGTTAAAAGACAAAGATTTCCATGCTAGAGGAGAATCAATTCAAATGTCTATAGCAGACATACTTTAAATAGAAGACACAAATAGGTTGGATGTAAAAAAATGGAGAATAGTGTATACCACATAAACATTAAATAACAGAAAACCATGGCTACATTAGTATCAGACCAAGTAGACTGTAAGGTAAGGACTATCAGCAAAGAGGGACATGTCTTGCTGAAAAAATAAGCTGTTCAACAGGAACATATAGCAGTCCTAAAGTGTTAGCAGGGTGTGGTGGTTCAGACCTGTTGAAATCCCTGCACTTAGGAGGCTGAGTCAGGGCGATTATAAATTAGAGGCCAGCCTGGACTACATAGCAATACCTTGATTAAAAAAAAAAAACCAAAAAAAAATCCAAAAGTGTATATACAACTAATAATATAGCTTTAAGCTCTTTGAAGCCAAAATTAGCATAACTGCAAGGAGAAATAAGGAAGCCACAGTATAACTGTAGATCTTCTTGTATACCTCTCTTAGTAACCAATAGAATAAGCAGGAAAAAAGCAAACTCAGTAGGCACAAAATTCTTAAAAAAAAAATATTGGGCAACAGGAGTTACCAACTTGATCTTAATGACATAAATTGCAATGAACTCAACAATTACAGAAAAATCACTCCATCCACTGACACACACATGTCCATTGCAGCCCGTGTCTTCCCAGATGTTGGTGGGCTTTTGGTTTACATTATTTTCAGGGTGTGTCTTCCTTGTGCAAGCAATACAGAGTTTCTATAGGGACAGAGCAATGATAGCTTGCAAGTTCCCCACCTGCTCCCCACTGTTTTGGTGGCATGGCATCAGTGTCGCAGGAGGGAGTAAGAGCCTAGGATGATTAAGATTTGGGTGGCTCAAGAAATATATAATCAATGTGAGATCAGCATTGCAAATACAAACATTTGTTCAGGGGAGGTCTGGGAGGGTAGGGCCAAAGCATGAGCACAGGAGCAAGAGTAGGGGATAACTGAGGAAAGGAGTCAAAGTTCAGACCCGGAAGGCCTTACTTCTCTCCCTTGAAGCTGTAAAAAGGGAATTGAGATAAGGTTTGAGCCTGTGGAAAATTACGGAAGGCAGCGTAGGGCTGAAGTATGGGTGGACTTTGGAGTCATGCTGTGTGGTTTTGAGTTCGGTTCCAGTTCTCACCAGCTGTGTGACCTTGAACAAATTACATAACTTCTCTAGGTCACATCCCCCAGCTGAAAAATGGAAAGCACATGGTACTAAGTTCTGAGGGTCTTGTGAAGATTAAAGAGGTCATTGAGGAGGATGCATTCCAAACAGTATTGAAATGTTTGCTTCTTCTGAGAAGAGGCATGAGTGGTGCGAGGAGCTGCTCTAGATACTGCCTCCATCTGTGTTGGTGGGAAGATCCAGGTGAGGTCAGAAGATGCCTGCTCAGTGGACCTTTGGCCATCTTCACAACATCAGAGAGGGCCCCAGGCAGGTGGCCTCTGAACCTACCCCCAGGAAAACGAGTAAGAAGCCTTACTCTGGGCAGTGTTCCCTTCACCAGGTAAGCAGTATCTTCCTTCATCCTCTCTCCAGTTCACACTCTGGTGTCTTAAACTTAATGACTTCATTTTTTCCCCAGCATCATTCATAGTAGTTAAAAATTATAGACAACCTAAATGACTCAATGTCCTAAACCTAAATGTCCATAAGGGAATGGATAGATTAAGTATGGCATATTTGCTTGGTGAATTCTCTACAGCAGTTACAATAAAGAAATTGGTTGGACACAGAGCTCCCCAAGTGACTCCCAGAAACCTAAAGTTTAACATAAAGTGTAAGCCCCAGTGATCAAGTTTCTGCAAAATTTGAAGAACACACACACACAAAAAAACAGCATTCTATGGTATTTTGGAAAGAAGGGGCTTATTGAAAAGTCTAGATGGATGGCTTCTACTCTGCACGACAGGGCTTGGGACTGGGAACAATGAGAATTCAAATTTCACCTATAACATTCAATTCCAGTGTTAAATATCTGGAGAAAAAACAGTAGTTAATTCTGGTGGGGGAGGTCCTTATTCTCCTGTCTTTTCCCTATTTTTTTTTCTTTCCTGCAGTACTGGGGTTTGCACTCATGGCCTACACCTTGAGCTGCTCTACCAGCCCATATTTGTGATTAGATTTTTTGAGATAGGGTCTGGAGAACTGTTTGCCCAGGGCTGGCTTCTAACTGCAATCCTCCTGATCTCTGCCTCCTGAGTAGCTAGGATTATAGGTGTGAGTCACTGGTGCCCGGCTCTTTCTCCTATTTTTTTTAAAAATCTTCTTCTGCACATTGTAGAAAATAGAAAAGTGATTACTATTTAGTTATAGTCACTATTATCATTTTGCACTACTCTGATATGTGTAGATTATATTTGAAAGGTATATACAGTATTATAAAATGCTTTTTTAAACTTAGTGTCGTATATTTTCATACATCACTAAATGGTCTCTAAAGATGTGGAGCTCATCCTCTGCCTCCCTCTGGGCTCCTGCTAAGCCCAGGGCTGTCTCCCTCCAGCTGCCATTGGGTATGATGAGATGTTTTCCCACATTGATAAGATGCAGTAGATCAGATGAGGCTGTGCCTAGAGGTGGAGGGGAAGATGCTCAGCAGTCAGAGGGTAACATCAAGGGCTCACTCATTGGTGGAAAGGCCTCAGCTGGAGGCCCCAAGGCAATCCCTGCTGCTATATGATGTATCTTCATATGGTCATGAGCCATCACTTCTGAGAAATTAGCCTTATGTCAGAGGTGGTGGCTTGTGCCTGTAGTCCCAGCTACTCTAGAGGTTTAGCCAGGAGAGTCTTGAGTTTGAGGCCAGCCTGGATAATGTGGCAAGATGCTAAGACCCTGTCTCAAAATGAACACAAACCAGGCACTGCTTCTAATTCTAGCTACTCAGGAGGCAGAGATCAGAAGGATCACAGTTCAAAGCCAGTGCAGGAGAAACAGGTCTGGAGATCCAATCTCAAAAAAAGACATCACCAAACAGGACTGGTGGAGTGATTCAAGTGATAAGAGTGCCGGCCTAGCAAGTGTGAGGCACTGAGTTCAAACCCCAGTGCCGCCAAAACAAAACAAAAAGCCCACCAAAAAACCACATGAAAACAATTACAAAAATAAAACAAAACCAGCCAAACAAAGGAAACCCCCCCAAACAAAATCCAGCTCCACAAAAGAAGCTTACAAGAAGTAGGTCAAATATTACATGAAGTCAATCAAAGGCAAAGTCAAAGAACAGAGACCAGAAAGAGTAAAACCTTTTCTGACAGGGGCTACAGAACAAATCAAGCCCATTCTTGCTAATCTGATAAATGACCAGATGTTTATTGGTGAAAACAGGAATCTGATGGCACAGTTGCTCACCTGGAGCACTGTGGAGATGGTGTGACCCCAGAGATGCTTTTCTCTGAGGATGGTTTAGAAATGGAGAAACATTAACAAGTTAGTCAGTGACTTCGGATCTATCCCCCACCATCATCACTGGCTGCTGCACGCCACCCTCAGTACAGGGACTGAAGACACATGAGTCTGTTGTCACTCTGAGCTCTTCATTGATTTTGATGTATTTGGAGCAGAGGCATTGTTTTTTAAGATAAAAAAAGTATCATGTAGGTTTTCTAAAAATAAAATGCATTTAAACAAAAAAGATGATTGTCAGTGACTACAAGATAATTCATTTTCTGCCTGTTTTAAAATTTATTCCATTATCTGTCTATAGCTGGATATATAAAGTATTTCCAACTTTTGGTCACCGTAAACAAGGGACTGTTTGTATGTGTTTGTACATTGTATTATGTCAGATTATTTTCTAGGATAAATTTCTAGGAAAAGAATTATAGGTTCAAAAAGTATGCACATTGCCAAGTTGGTTTCCCAAAAGCAGACCCCTTAAAACTCCCCCCAGAAGTGTACAGGATGCTCACCAATCTTAAGAGCCTTTAATTGGATATTAAAACTCAGAAACTCACCCCACCTGTACTGTGAATTTGTTTTTCCTGGTCCTCTGGGCCTATTTTCTTTTGGATTTCCTCTAGCAGAAGTTCAAAACCCAGGAAGGGAGTGGCTTCCGGCTGGAGGACAGACTTGCTTGGTGGGCGACTTCCCTCATATTTGCTCCTGTGGGAACGTCAGAGCCAACCCCCTCCCTCTGATGAATTCAGTCACTTCCAGTCATTAGATTGAAGGCCCGTCTTGTTACCCTCACCACCTCCTACACTGTGGCTGACACGTGGACTACAGCCCTGCCTCACAGAGGAAGGACAGCCTGTTATTTTGTAGTTGTGGCTGCCTTGTATCAATAGGAAGCCAGGAACAATATTCTGAGCAAAAACACGTATTCACTCACCCTGAGCTGCTGTCACTTTCTAGAAGCCATAATTGGGACCTGATGTTCACTGTAATTGGCAAAAATCCCTTCTAAGAGAGAGACATCTCCATGTTTGAAACTGACTCGGGTTAAGAGGCTATCAGTGAGTATTGCAGGGCTCTCTGGGGGAGCTGAGGATTTAGTCCTGACCTATTAATTTACACGTGACATGTATCGGTTTCATGTTTATTTCGAGAGTATTCATAGAAATAATCCCAACTATTTTCAAAAAGCATTTCATCTTGAGATACTGCATTGCTTTTAACCTTAAAGCAAGAATTTGATGGTGGAGTTGCTCAGGTGGTAGAGCGCCTGCTAAGCAAGCATAAGGCCCTGAGTTCAAGCCCCAGTACTGCCAGAAAAAAAATAAATAAAAATAAAGCAGGAATTATCTGCATACCTGATTATCACAATTAGAGCTCCATCCATTAAACATTTTAAAGTAAAAACGTAGCTGCCTCTCACTGCTCTCAGGATAAATTCTCCCATCCTCATAAGAGCCTGTCTGGTGTCATTTCATGTGAACTCTCCCTTTCAAGCCTCCTTGACTTTGCTCCCTAGACTTCAAACATAGCACATTCCTATCGGCCTCTGGGCTTTTGCAGATTCTATTACCTTTGCTTTCTCTGGGAAATGGCTCCCGATCCCACCCCAACTCCCCTCTGTCCAGTCTTCCCAGAACCATTGAGATGAACTCAAAAATCACATCTTCAGAAAAGGCTGTCCCAATATCAGAGACTGAGTCTGGACTCTGATTTATATGACCAGAGCCTCTGTGCTTCTGCTTGGGATGCTCTGCAGTGTGTAAGTCTGTGTTTATTTGGGTCATTGGTGTTTAATGTCTGTCTCTCCCACTGGTGTGTGAGTGCCATGAAGGGAGGGACCCTTTTCCTTACTACCAGAAGCTGGCCTTCCCCGGCCATGCCAGGGAGATGCTGCTGAACCAAGGCTGTGTGCTGACAAAATACTCCCAGTGGCTAGGCTGGGGTAGATTGATAGCTGAGTATTGTGCCATGCAATTCCTCTATGAGCCAGTAAATTCTTTCTTAGACTATATATGGGTGCTATTATTTATGAGTAGAGGCTATTAGAGAGATGGTAGGTTTTCTCACCCACCAGGGATGAGACCTTCTTACTGCCTTTGCTTCAGTCTCATTTTAAAATATGAATAATAGCAGGGCATGGTGATGCATACCTATAATCTCAGCACTTGGGAGGCTGAGATAGGAGGATCTTGACTTCAAGGCCAGCCTGGGCTACATAATGGGACCTTGTCTCAAACAAACAAAACAAAACCAAACCCCATAGCATTTCCCCATTCCCTTCATCCTAAGCTATCATGGACTTTAATATAACATCACTTAATAACTTTTCAGTGAAAAAAGCCAAGCCATACAAAAAAGAACCCTTCCTCCCAAGGAACCCCTCACTCATTATTGTTACCACACTAAATATAAACATTGATTGTAAAACATCCAATTCCCAGGCATTTACAGTAAAACAAAACAAAACCAAAACAACAACAACAACAAAAACCCTTAGAGTTTAGACAAAATGCAGCGTACTATCATAAAGGATGATTGTGAGCGTGGTGTGGGTGGCACATGCCTGTAATTCCAGCATTCGGGAGGCTGAGACAGGAGGATGGCAAGTTTGAGATCAGCCTGACAGCTTAGCAAGATCCTATCTCAAAATAAAACAAAAAGGGCCTGGGGTGTAGCACAGTGGTAGTGTGCTTGCTGGGCTCAATTCCCAGCACTGAAAAAAATAATGATTGTGAGTTTGAGAAGAGCTGAAGGTGTGGTAATTGCTTTGCTCAGTGTCTACCATACCATGATCACTGTTCTAGTAATGCTGTCATTTTGTATTGGAAGAGTTAACATCTTTTCAGTGTGTGCGTTGTATATCCCCAAAGACTTAAAAAGCCTGTGTCTTCTCTTTACAAATTTGATCCCTTTCCACCATCACCCACCCTAGTATTCAGTAAGGTACAGGAGCATATAATAGATAAAACAGTGTACATTGGGGAATTGAGACCATGAAAAGGAGGTATGTTTGGGGTCCGTCCTGCCTCCCACATGAGGGGATGAAGGAGAGAAGCCACGGGCAGGGATCTTGACCTTCCCAGACTGTCTCTGGCTCCTTTGCTAAATAGTCAAGGGAAGAAAAGCCCCCTATTTGGTGGGTCTGTATTTGCTGCTTCTCTGTTGTGGTCAGGATGTTATTGTTGTCCTTTCTGGGTTTCACTGAATAACATGGGAGCATGTTTATTCCAAGAGGTCATTGTTGGGTGTTCCCAGTTCCAGGCCACCACCTGGCTCAGGCCTTCATTACTTTTGCATGTGCAGTTGCCTCCCCACTTGTTCCCTGCTGACTTCCAGACGTCGCAGCCTGCGGTCATCCAGATTTAATTCAATTCAGTACAACACACATGAGCCCAGACTGTCCTTGGAGTCATTCATCTACACTGTTTTAGTGTGCTCATCTTCGTCCTAGGTACTCGCTACTTACTAGGGTGGCTAAGGTGAAGGTGAAGGGCATTCTTCACCTTCTTACTGACGTGCAGAGAATAAAGTTGGTTGCCCCAGCTTGTCTGGTGCACAAAAATTTCCAGTCAAGTCCTGTCCCCACTTCCTAGCCTTCATTCTGCCAAGCCCCAGCTTTGTTCCAGACTCCATGGCTGGCCTCAGGTTCTAGCAAGCCTCAGGCTCCTCGAGTTTCTGGAATAATCTCCTTCATTCTCTCCTCCCTCGGGACACTGTTTAGGAATCCCTACAGCACTTGATTCTATCTTCTTGGTTTTAGAACACAGACATGCTCAAAACTGGTCTGCTTTCTAGACTATAAACTCCTTGAAGGCAGAGGCTCTATCTTATTCATCTTTATGATATAGTTTGACATATACACATCTACACATACATTCATTTTGGTTACTGAAACATTGAAAAACACTTCTTATAGGGTTTCAACTCAGACATCAGAAAGCAGTAACAAGGTATTGTCATTGGTCACATAAATTACATCTGCAAAAAGAAAGAGGTGCCCAGTGAAGGGACCTTTCTTTTATAATAATAATTTGTTGAGCATGTTCTTCCTTTGAAGTAACTTAATTGTGCAAAGAGGCCCTTCTGTTTTCTGATGGGCAGAGGAAGGGTGCAGATACCATCAGGTTATGTTATTTTAGCTTCGTGTCCTTTTCTGCATATAGCCAATGCTCAGACACAGTCAGTCTACACTTCTAAGCCAGCACTGTATGGAAGGTGTGTTGACTTCAGACGTGAGGTCAAGGAGCTGAAGAAGGATCAGCTCTGCCTTGGCAACCTGGATTTAGGTCCCAGTGGGCAAGGCCATGTCTAATGTCTCCTGGACTTTAGTTCCTGGGGCACAGAGTACAGGCACTGGCCATGCTCACGCCTGAGAACTGGGCTGACTCTCTCTCCCTGCTGACAAGAAAATGGGTTATCACGGGGAATTTGTTCTATCTGGAAGTGGGAGTTCATGGTGTCTTAGGGTGCCATAACAAAATTATTTGGGAAGCAACATCCATATTGTGCTTTATGGATCCCTAAAATTTTAGGTGTTATTGTGAAGTAACTATTTTTATAGTTACTTGAAAAGTCATGCATACAATTTCTTAATTCAATCTCTTTTCTTTTTCAGTGACCAAAATACATTTCTGTCTTTATCTTGGGGCAAAGAGTTACAGAACAATAAGCAATATGGTCTTATTGCTTGAAAGATGATCTTCGAATTTCTTTTAATTATCAAAAAGTAAAAATAAGTTGTTTAGGTAGTGCTGGGGTTTGAACTCAAGGCTTCACACTTGCTAGACTGGTGCTCTACCACTTGACCTACACCTCTAGAACTTTTTGCTCTGGTTATTTTTGAGATTGGGGTCTCACTTTTTCCCTGGGCCTGCTAGGCCCACCTATGTATGCTTCTGGGCATAGCAAGGATGACAAGAACGTGCCACCATGCTCAGCGTGGGGCGTGTACTTTTTTGCCTGGGCCGGACTTTGGCCACAATCCTTCTACCTATGTTTCCCACACATAACTGGGGTTGCAGGTGTGTACCCCACCATGCCTAGTTTATGTGAGTTGGGGGGTCTCACCAACTCTTTGCCCAGGCTGGCCTTGAACATTAATTCTGTCAATCTTTGCCTCCTAAATAGCTGGGATTACATGCACAAACCACCATACCAGCCCCTGTTTTTTTTTGAGATGTACCCCAGGCTGGCCTTAAACTTCTAATCCTTTTGCCTCAGCATTCCAAGTGCTGGACTAGGTGTTACCTAAGCCACCATGCTCAGCTCAAAATAGTCATTTATACTAAAAGTGGGGAAAGATCTTGTAACAGTTGGAATAGACTCAGAGGTCAGGTCCCAGACTCATTGCGGTATTGATTGAACTTGGCGATCTAGAGCAAGTTATTTTCTCCTCCACTGTCTCTCCAGCTACAGCAGGGACAAAGACGACAGACAGCCTTTAACCACCCCAAGGATGTGCAGTAAACAAAATGATGTATGGACACATTCTTAGGAGAAAGGTAAGCTTGAATTAAGTACTGAGCCCACGTTGTCTTTAGGTACTGTTCCTTGTATGTAGCTCCCTTACTAAATATTTCTACCTCAGTGACAGGTGACAAGTTACTCATCTGTCAAAACTCTTCTGTGAAAGTCATTTCTTTCTCCACTTTTCTACATTACTACCTTCACTTTCAGGCACTGCAAAAGTGGCCTCATTTTCAATGACAGATGCCATCAGAATGGTCATTTGTCTTTGTGTGTTCTGTCTCTCCCCACCCCAGTGGCCAAGAGCAAGCAGGTCCCCAGGCTGGGGAAGCAGTTATCAGTAGTTTCCTCTGAAATGTCCATCTCCTGAGTAATGGTGCACCCCTAGCATTGCCCCAGGGCAAGAGAAACCTGGGGACAAGGTATTCTTAAATGTAACTTTTCTTGCATGGTTTTAACCAGATGCTAGAGAAATCAAAGTAGGTAATCTATCTGGAAGCCTTGAGAAATGCCTTCCTGGTTTCTTGGAAGTTATTCCATGATAAATGTCATTCTTTAGGTCTCTCTGACTCTGTGATTCTTATCGGAATAGAGTTATTTGCCTTAAGGACTTTTCTTTAAAAGACTCTCAATTGAAATAATGTATTTCTCATTATATAGTTACTGTCATTGCTGGAAACTCAAAATGCTTGAAAAATATTTGAAATTCCTATTCAAAAACCATTTTGCCACTGTAAAATTCACATATGGTGATATAAAGTGATTACTTTCATACCTTGCTGCAATATTAATAAAATTTAGAAGTAATAAGAAAAGAAAGGATTCTAAATTTTAATAATAACCCAGTGCTCTTTTAGAAATGCTGGGTAATCACTCTGGCTGGAATTGCAAGGACATTATTTGAAGAGTGTCACATGATACCCAGTGACCTAGAGGAAATACAATCAAGCTTTCTATGTCATCCCAAGTCACCCCTCTTTCAGAGCTTTGTGGAGCTAATGCTTCTTAGGCCAACATGATCTCATTTGCTTTTTCCTTACACTTACATAAAAGACACTGGCTTTAGAGACGTTCTCAAATAATTACTGGTGCATATTGCATCTCAACTGGGATCCCCTAGATGCAAAGCCCGACTTCGAAGGGTTCCTACATTATGTTCTAGGGTTTTCTTCATCCATTAAAGCTGCCCACCCAGGGTGGAGATCCAACAAGGTTTTTCTTTGAATACCATCTTCACCTGGCCAAAATGCTACCATCGTTCAGAAATTATACTTTATATACTTCTAGAAAGAAATGTAGACAATTAAAATTGTCTTGTAGCAGGTAATTTTTTTTTTAATATTTCCTGTAAAGAGAAGAAACTGCATGGGTCTATGCAAGTATTAGCTGAGTTAGCTTGCTCTAGCAAAATGGGGTTTTTTAGAAACTGGTATCTTTTTATTCAAAAACATGGATAAGTCAATGTTTACTATTTCTTTTTCTCTCCATGGGAAGGAATTTCTGGGTATTAGAAATATCTTAGAGTTACATAGCTATTCTAGTTAGGATAGTAATACCCGAAATTACACATTGCAGAAGAGAAGAGATATTTCTCCCCAATTGTAGCAAAAAAGGGTTATGGTCTTTCTTAAGATGAAAATTAGGTTAGTGGTAATTGTGCTGCTGACATCCCTAAAGCCCTTTATGATTTTATCATGCAGAGGGTTTGTGTTTGTTCTAGTATTGTTGCCCAACTGGCATGTTTTGCCCCAAGGACTGGATGATTAGTTGCTAGAGGAGAGGAAGGGCAAGGTAAAATTCCTTTGCAAGCCCTTTTCAGTACATGGAGAGGTGGGAGTGCAGTCTGCCCTTGCTGGGTGAGTCACAGGACCCCAGCACCGACATGGAATGTCTGTCAGAGTTAATGCGTCACAGACTCTTGCCACACTCCTGTGGGTTAATCCTCAAAGAAAAACTGTCATGTGTGTCTAATGGGATATAGGTGTGCCAATGACAGTCTTTCAAAGATCCTGAGATCATATTTATACTTGTGTTGCAATTTCATTTTTGAGATGTGTGATTTACCAACATTTTAACGATAGAAAAATCATTCTGCATATAAGATCAGTAATATGAAAGTTGCACAACCAGTGGTGATAAATAATTGCTTTAGGCTTCTTCATTTTTTTCATATTTCCCTTTTACCACTGTTCTGTATCTGTGAGGTAGCAGGTCTTCTATAGGGCTGTGACTTATGGCGGTGTCTCCTTAACTGATTCTTCTTCTTAGAGCTCCAGTGTATCACAAAATGTTAATAGCTTTTTCATGAAAAGAAAAGTACTAGGATAAAGTATGGACAAGGCTGAGGGGCGGAGAGAAAAACATTTCCTGTTCCCCACACAGGAAATAGATGCAAAGACTCCTAGTCAGGGTTTTTCGATGATACGAAACTAACAGGGTATGTGTCTACAGAGAGAAGTTTATTATAAGAAATTGTATCATGAGATTATGGAGGCTGGTGAGTTCACAATCTGTGGTTTGATCCAGGGAACTTCAGACCCAGGAAAGCTAATGTTACTGATCAAGTTCAAAGACAGTCAGCTGGAGAGTTCCCTCTTGCTTAGGGAGGCCAGCATTTTGCTCTGCTCCGGCTGCTTGGAGGAGGCCTGTCCACATATGCAGTGCAGTCTGCATAACCCAAAGGTCACTGATTTAAATGTTAATCTCAACCAAAATGTACTCCAAATTGACAATCACAGAAAATTTTAAAAAAGCAGAGAGGGGCGAGGTGGGGAGAGAAACACTGAGTATTGTAGTCCCCTGGAGGGAGAATTATAATACAGATTAACATAAAGACCTTGAGAAGTCCCAAAGTGAAGATGCCTTTCATATTTGTATAACCCAGTCTTTCCCAAAGTTATTTGCTCGTGGAAGCTTCCCTTACTCCCTCCATGATTTTTTGCCGGTGTAAACTTAGTATCATCTTTCTGGATTATCAGTGCTTAGAGGAACACAAGCAGAAGAAAAAACAGGTCTATAGAATGAATGATGTATGTTTAGGAAACTGGCTCACTTGAAGATTAAACTGATGATTTCAACCTCAGTAGTGCAGGCTAGAAGCCTAGCTGATATATGTCTATTTGATTTTTTTGAATGCTAACCATTAGCAGTGCTGGCCTAAGTGTGGTGTCAGTAAGTGGGAAGTGCAGAGATGGAGGTGGACATCCGCCTAAAAAGATCAGGAGAAGTCCCATTGCTGGTTTTGCCTCATTCTCTGACAAGAAGCCTGGTTGAGCAAAAGGTAGTGGCCGAGAGAGCATGATCACTGCCACTACCCAGTGTCTACAAAAAGTCTCTTGGGTAGGACTCCATGAACTACTGGGAAGCTGTGAAACACAGACACACTCATGACTATCTCCAGCAATAACACAAAATAAGCACCTGATAAAGACACAAAAATAGGCTGTAATGTAGCTTAATGGGAGAGTGCTGGTCTAGCATGTACAGGCCCTGGGTTCAACCCCCACCACAGAAAAAAGAAAGAAAGGACATAAAAATGAAGAGAATCATGAGTAAAAGAAAACAACATAAGCCCTGCTATGGTTTGAATAAGATTGGAGTGTCTCCCAAGGGCTCATGTGCTGAAATTTAATTCCTATTGAGAGGGTGGAAAACGCTGGAGAAGGTATGGTGCTGCACACCTGTAATCTGAAAACACTTGGGAGGCCGAGGCAGGAAGATCACCAGTTTGAGTACAGCCTGGGTTACCTAGTGAGTTTGAGGCCAATCTGAGCAACACCATGATACCTTGTCTCAAAAAAAGGCATGTGGTGGTGGTGGTGGTGGTGGTGATTCAATCTAGCTATGATGTTTAGAGGTGGGGCCTTTAGGAGGTGATTAGGATTAGATAGTATCAACATGATGGAGCCCCCGTGACTGAATCCTGGTGGCTTGACAAGGAAAGGGAAAGAAACCATACTTTTTTCTTTTGCTGTGTGATGCAAAATTCTGTCAGCAAGAAGGCCATCACCAGATGTGGGCCCTGGATCTTGGACCTCCAGAACAGTGAGTCAAAATAGACATCTTTTCTTTATAACTCACCCAGCCTCAGGTATTTCATTCTAGCAACTACTGATATAAATTAAGACAGAAAATTGTTACTGAAAAGTGGGACCTGTTGCTAATAAAAATTACCTGAAAATGTGGAAGTGGCTTTCGAATTGGGTAATGGATGGAGGCTGGAAGAGTTTGGAGGAGATAGTTAAAACAAGCCTCAAATGCTATAAACAGCATTACCCGTGACTCTGGTGAGGGCTTGGAAGACAAGGAGAGTAGGGAAGTAGTCTCAGATGGAAATGAGGACTCTACTGGAAATTGGAAAGGCCATCCTGTCATACCACAGCACAGAGCTTGGCTGCATTGTGTTGATGTCCTTAGACTTCATAGAAAGCCAAACCTAAAACTGAGTGACTAATTTATCTATAGGAAGAGATTTCAGAACAGCCAAGTATTCAGGCTGGGACATGGGTGTTATTAGCTGCTTTTGGTCAGCTTTTCAGTGAGATACAGGAGCAAAAGGAAACAGAGCAGAAAAATTTGGAAAATTCATAGCCTGCTGACAAAGGGCATTCAGTAGAGGAGGCCATGGCTAGGTGACTGCTCACCAAAGAGTAGCAGGAGTGTTAACTGTAGGGATGATTAGAAGAAGACAGCCTGAGAAACCTTGAGGCTGTCCTGCCCATCACAGGCCCAGGGACCTTCTAGTAGGGAATTATTCTGAGAACAGAGCCAAGAGCACTCTCCATGGGCTGGGGATCCCTGTCCCCCCAATTTCAGTGGGTAAAAAATTCCATGACTACAACAGGCTGCAAGTGTGGCTCAAGAAGGCCCCAGCACAGCTCATGCCACGGTAGCTTCCACCGAAATTTCAAAGGAAAGGCTGGGAAGAAGCCAGGAAGAAGTTTGCTACAAGCTTTGAGCCCATGCGTGTGACACTGGGTGTGTTGATCCCAAGTTTGTGTCCTTGTGTAGTCAATGATTGAAGAGGCTGGATCAGGAGTTAAGAGTAAAGTAAGCACAAAGTTTTTTTGAAAGGATAGCAAAGCATCTTGATGGGTGAGACTTAGTGAAAGAGCTAAGCTATAGTATAGCTGAAGTCATATAGGGCACTAATTGGCTGAGGTCCAACTATTCTATCTTGAAACCATACTTGTGATTGGTTTGCCCTGAGTCAGCTTCTCACTGAACTGGGTCACCTGTCTGCCTCTCTCCTTATTGAACTTAGCATTTGAAGGTCTGGTCAGCTTGTCCTGGCCTTGAAAGTCTATTCATCTTGTCCTGGCCTCCAGGCCCATTACCCACATTTTGCAGCTGCATTTTGTTATTTTGGTAAAGGGTTTGTTATTTCTCTAAGAATCCTGTTGGTTCCCATGCTTCTTTAGATGTCTGCTTCTAAAGTGCCTCTCTCATCCAAAATGGAGTCATCTGTCATTGCCCCCCTTACACAGACAGCCTCAGATGGGATGATGCCTAGTCGAGTCAAGAGAGTAGAGTCCCAGTAGGGTCCCCAGAGAGATACACACATACATGCATGTGGTCCCTGCCTCTTGTCATGTGATGGACTGTACTACCTTGAGACTCTCCAACAAAGAAGGCCATCATCAGACATGGACCCTTGACCTAGGACCACAACTTGGGAGCCAAAATAAATCTCTTATAAGTTACTCAGCCTTGGATATTTCATTATAGTAACAGAAAACATATTAAGAGACACCTTTTTCCCCACTTGTACATTCATAAGCTGAGAACACATACATTTTTAATGCTAAAAAATAGTGATGTGTCTTTACTCCTCTTCTTCTGATGGGTGCAGAAAGCATGGAAATACATTATTTGATAAAAATTTCCTGAGGCTTACATTCAGGTATGTGACTAGGTGAATCATGCAAAATCCTCAAGCTGCAAAACTTTATCTGAAAACACACAGTTAATCTGCCAATAATGATCATGCTGAAATTGTGATCGCCTCACCGTGAATGTGATCCCTGTCTTATCCATTTCTCTTTCCCTTCTCTGGTCCTCAGTGGAAGAAGTTGGTATTCAGAGAGTCAGGAGACAGTAGACAGAAGAGGGCCTGATGGCTGCCTGTTTCTGATTGGGAAGAGAAACTCCTGAAAGGGACATCTCTGAAAAGGTAACTTGGGTGCTAAGTCACACACTTGGATTTCACCCACCACAAAACCTGGAGAAGCACAGAAGGCTTTTGGGCCAGGACTGATTTGAGCAGATGTGCATTAAACCCTTCTGATATCCACTCAGCACAGATTAGTGGGCGAGGGGAATAGGAGTTCAGGTGGGGCCCCACGATGTACGATGAACAAGAACGCGGCTACAGGAGGTCAGATGTGCCGTCTGTTTTGTGCACTGTGGGCTTAGAGGACACAGATCTGCTCACAGGAAATTTGTGAATAAGGGAATACTGCAGCACTAAGCTCAGTTTCCATCTTTCCAAATTTGCTCAGACCTCTGCCTTCCTGCTATAGAGACCTTGGTGCCAGCTTGTGCTGCAGCCTGCTCTCCTGACAGAGCCAGTTGTCTCAGCTTCCCCCAGATGTGATGGCGGTGGTCTGGTTTTAGGAGCTGGGACAGCTGCAGTACTGTCTGCCTAAATGGGCCCTCTGATTACTGGAAGGTAGCAGGATAGGGGACAAGAAGCTGGCTGATAAATCGCCTGTCTCCCTCCCCTTCCACCTTTCCTGAGAAGCAGAGGCTGCCCATGACCCTTCTGGGGACCACCCATAGGACCCAGAGTCCAGGGATGTTTGGGGAAAGTTCTGGGCATCTTGGCAACATACAACCTTACATTTGTTCCCTCCTTCCCTGCTGCATTCCCCTTCCCCACTTCTGAACCCCCCCCCCCAATATTACCTGCAGGCTTCATCTCAGGGCTTTGTTTTCTAGGGAACTCAGTACAGGAATATGGAGGTCATTTTGGTTCATACCTAATTTTTTCTACACAAGGAAAGCCAGACTAATTAATGGGAGTGGAATTATCACTTCATCAGGAAGGGGCAAAGTCTTCGACTCAGTCCTTATCCAAGTGGCAAGAGGCTTCCATTGCATTGTAAAAGAGGCCCTCTTCCTGGGATGCCCTCCATTCAAGGCAGCCCATCTTGAAGGCAGCCCTGGTTCCCAGCTCCCTCCCCTCTTCCAGCCTCTGTGCTCCCCAACTCTGCTCTAAATAAGTGCTGCTAACATTCTCAGCCTGTCATTTCTGTGCAATTTTTAATAGCCAGTGTTAGCCTCCAGCTAGGTGGAGCTGCCTGCCTGGTCTGTTGGCTGTTATCTCCCCAGGAAACAATTACTGTTTTTGTGAGGACTTTGGTTCCAAAGTTGCAAAGGTTTGGAGAGGTCTGGCCCATCCTATTTTTTCTCATAAATGCTGTAATTTTCATGCATGATTTTGGAGAATGGGAGCTATGTTCTGGACGTAGATATTGCAACCCAGTGGAAATGTTAGTGTCTCAAGTAGTCAGGACATAAAGCCTTGTTGAATGAATACAGTGCAGTAGAAATTATTTCTCGGGATAGAGAAAGCAGTATCCATATGATTGTATGATTATTTTAAAAAATTTTCTGTGTATGTCAGGTTTTAAGACCTTACATTTAGGTAATTAAAAGGCAAGCATCTTTCCCCATGGCAACTGTGCACACTTGGGTAGTCAAGTAAGAATATAATCCATGTGGAATATCTTTGGCCCTTTCCTTTCCCAGTGTGTCCTGTGCCATGGAAGGCAACCTACATCTTGCTGTAGGGCTTCTTTTTGGGTCTAGCCAATAGGAAACAAGATTGGAGGGAGAGAGAGAGGAAATCAGGGCATCTACTCCTTTGTTAATACTCCTGGCTTGTGTGTGACACCCATTTCCCCTGGGACTTTTACAACCAAACAACTTTCTTTGAAGATTCTTGTATTTTCCAACCCTCAGCAGGTGAACAAGCAAGGCAGCTTTATTAACTCCTGTTATGATCATCTCAATTGCTGTAATTAGATTAACAAGGGGGGATGTAATTCAGTGATAGAGCACTTGCCTAGCATGGGCAAGGCCCTGGGTTTGGTTGCCAGCACTGCCAAACAAAACAAAACAAGGAAATTAGCAAGAAATGGGGGTGGCTACTTCACTATGTCTTCAAATAACAGAAAGAATATCTCTTTCTTGGCAAATGTTTATCCAAACTAAAAATCTCATAGCATATATTTGAAAATGTGCCATTTTAAACATAATTCAATCTGTTTTTGATGATTCAGAAGATAACTTCAGTAGACGGTGTCTCTGGTGTCATGGTCATGACTAACACTTATAATTGTACTGAAGATGTGTAGACAGTCTATTTAACAGGATCGCACAGAGCCACAGAATTTTCTATATTTTGGCTATAAAAATTCTGGATGCCCGTTGTCAAAATCCATAATGGACACTGCTAAGTTACTAATAAAACAGAGACTCAGGAAAATGATCTCATCAAAGGTTTTACACTTTTCCAATAAAGTCAGAGATACTATTGGTCGTGTCCTATACTCCAGACACTATTATGGGATGGTAGTCATATTTCCTTTCAACTTTAGGGCAACCCAACAAAGTGGTTTTATTATGTCTGTTTTATAGATGAGGAAATGGGCTCAGAGAGGTGAAGTAACAAGACTGAGGTCACACATCTGGCAAAGCTGTGATTAGAGGCCAGGCTGCTGGATTCAAATCTGTCCTCTTCCACTAGACCAGCTGGTTCAAGCATTGTCAGGAGAGAACTCAAGAACCCCTAGTGTGTTGGCCTTTCTGAGCTTGCAGGGCTTGAGCCATCCTGAAAAGGTTAATCCTACCTGACTGTGGCAAACCACTGCCTCTCTTTTTGTTCTCTCCTTCTAGGTGGAACTGATTCTTCTGATGCAGGCATCACTGTGTCATACTTGTTGCAATGGCACAGCTCACCAACATTAGCCTGCAAGACCATTGTTACTGGAAATGACCAACACTCACCGCATCACTGCACTGTGAGATCCTTTGACTGAACTCTTTACCTGGGGACATGGTAGGAAGCCATCTTGGCAGGCAATTACTTACACTGCACATTAAATCATAGAGTTGTGGAGCAGGAGGTGAACACTTGCAAGGATAGCAATAATTTTTTACTTACTCTTGAAGACCTGCCTCAAAATAGTAGGCAGTCTTGTTTTTCCATGACCTATAAGTAAAACAAGCTTCTGTATGATGAGGTAAAGAAAACCTGATTTTTCAAAAGTTTACATTCCTTAGATATATATCCAAGTATGTGTTAAATCCTGAAGGGTGACCCAAGCCTGAAAAGTTAGTCCCTGTTTTTCTGGGAGACACTGGGAACCATGGCTCAGGAGAAGGACTGCACCCAATAAAGAGGTTTGTTGGGGTCTCTCAGAGCCTGCTGTTGATAAGCCAGCAGGGCAGCAGAGGTCTTGAGTGCCTAGGCTCTGGAGAGAGACTGCTTGGTTTCCTATCCTGGCACTGGCACTTGCTTCTTTGTGCCTCAGTTTCCTTACCCATAAAATGGAAACAGCAAGCACATGAGCCTGGAGAGGTTGTTGTGAGCCCAAGGCACTGAGAACAGGATAAGCCAGGTATTCATGGCAATTCTTCCATTGCTTCATTTTCAGAGGCCTGGATGTGTGAATCAACTTGTTTAAGTCACATGGATGGTGAAAGATTTAGGACTGGAGACCTGGTCTACCCAAATTCAAAACTCTTTTCTCACTTCTGGGCAGAAAAGTGACTTAGGAGAGCTGTTGTAAAAGTGGGTGATGCCCAGCTAATGTCCCCAGATGACACTTAATGCAGAAAGAGGGGATGCTGTTGAAGAGACGACACCAGGACAGGTGGAAGGTGTGAGTGTCCCAATCCTGAGGCTCTCCAGAAGTCCTGACATTACCAGAGGAAACAAGAGACAAGTTTTTGGTACCAAAGGAAATGGTCAATACTGAAAGCCAGTTCCAGGTGAGAGACCCCAGAAAATTCTGCAGACATGTGGCTTTAACATTGACAGTTTCTGAAATATTCTTTCCTCTTGGTTCCACCATTTGTGTATTTAAAGCATTTGGGTGTTCACTCTGCTGAGAAAGGCTGTATGGCAGTGAGGCATCATGAATAATGACAATCACAGTCTTTTCAATATTTGCTTAGTGTGACATCTCCAGCTCTGAAAACACTAGCTGGCATGTATTAAAGACTGATGTTTATAAAGTGAATATACACTAAACAAGTGAAAGGATGGATTAAGGGAGAGAGGAATTAAAGTTTCACATGCCAGGGGTGGACAGAGAGGCACTTAATGAACACTACCCAGTGTCCCCTGTGATGGGACCACATCTGGGCCTAGAGAGACCTAAACAGAGCGTTGGAATGGCAGGTTCTTTACAGAGACTCTGTAAGCTTCTCCTGTCCTTCCCTCCCCCAAGGAAGGCCAATGTGTGTGGACAATGGATCTACACACCTGGGACCTACAGGAGGGCTTTTAGGACACACAAAGGGAGACTAACACTGGCAAATCTATTGTAACTTCCATAGGTCAGAGTGGCTCCTGGGGCACATGATCAAAAAACACATGTGGGGGTGGAGGAATGAGCTTGGCCCCACAAGTTGGAAGCCTGTTTCAGTAATCAGGTGAGAACTGAGGAGGGCTTGATTCAAGAGCAGGTGTTGAGAATGACCTGGAGGTGGTATATTCTGGAAATATTTGTAGGGAGGTTGTCAGAGCTTTATTGGACTCATCACATCCTGCCCTGAGGCCTTCGATGTCCCCAAATAAAGCGAGTTTACAGTTTCCAGCTGAGAATGTTGGCCAGTCACCAGCTACTGCTAGGAAATGTTTTTTAGAACGGCCACTATATTCATTGTTTTTGAATTTCTGAGTACCATCTGCTTGGTTCTACATTCTTTCCATACTTAGTAGAGCTCTATTGAAATGGTATTTAATTCTGAATATTTGCCCATAGGAAGAAGTCACTATACCTTTTCCCATTAATCTAGCATTACAACTTCAATAATCTCTGTCTCTCTCACTCTCTGTTTTTCTCTCTCTTTTATTAATTTAGCTATAGAAGGTTCCATATGTTGCAGCAGTTCACTACCTTATAACTTTGATTCTTATGCCAGGAAGGGAAACTTTTGCTCAGAGGCACCCTCAAAGTGCATTAATGAGTCACTAGGTCCTAATCCTTAGGACTGTAGGAGTCTGTGACTCTGGCCAAGACAGGGTCTGTCTGGTGGCAGGGATTGCCATCACTTTAAAGGCAGATTCTCTCGTTCCTATGCTCCTCTGCAGACATATGACTGAAGTTCTTTATGAGAACCAGCAAGCTTTCCCAGACATTGCTGCAATAGCTAATAGCTTCAGGACCTGTCCCTGCTCTGGTAGTCACACCTATCTGACAGCCATTGTCTGCCCAGGCCAGGAGGCTTGCTTGAAGTAAGTCAGGGGGCAGACCATAGTCCAGTCACTTCCAAGGGGCCACTCATGTGCTTCCCTGAGGACCTGTCTTCCTTCTGTGTCCTATGTTCACCCCAGCTTTCTTCTCTCTGATCTGTGCCTTCTTGCTTTCTCTGGGTATCGGTCCTGGCTTCCTGCCTCAGCTTGCTCATGTTGTCGCTGCTTACACTGTACCTGTGAGTGCCGTGTTCCATACGAATTAACCACGAGGACTTGAAAGCTTCTCTGTGCCCTCCGGTCTGCTTTGGGGACCTGGGCTGTGACCATGCCTTTGCCCGAAACCTGTTGGTCCTGTTGTGTTGGTGCTTCATGTCCTGGGTGACAGTGCAACTTGGGTGTCCCCACACGGGTCTCTTTGCCTTGAAGAGAAGCTAAGTCCTAGCTCCTGGGTCATTGTTAGGACATCGTCTCTGGGCACCTCTTAGTCATTCCACATTGGGCTTCTGATTTCCGAGTTCTACTTCTTGCTGTTCAGCAAAAATTGAAAACTCAATATTCTATTTAAAATTTGTATTTGGTGAAACTGCATTTTTTAAAGCTGTACTCATTTGTACATCTTTAAGGGTAGGATGGGGTTCAGAGCGTCCTACCCAAATGTGATATCTAGGCATTGGAGAAAACAAGCAGAAGCAAGAAGGCCTCTGTCACCTTCCCCTACCCCACCCTTTCTTATGAGACCTGCTTCCAGGGGAGCTGTCCCTACCCCTGGAGCAAAGGATTCTTTCTTTGGACACAAGAAAGCAGAAAGGAGCCAGAACAAACAGGTCTTGCTAAGTTCCCTCTAGTTTATGAAACCACGTTTATCTAGTTCTACCTTCTCCACAGTTACCTACTTCTCCGTCAAGTCTAGCATAAAAATGCTAGTGTTTTGGGGTTTTAATTTTTGAAGGCTCTCATGTCTCATAAAAATTATATTAAATGCCTGTAATTCTAGTACTTGAGAGGCTTAGGCAGGAGGATTGTGAGCCTGAGCTATCAGGCAAGACCTTGTCTCAGAAAAAAAAGTTATATTAAATATATTTGTATGATTTTCTCTTGTTCACCTGTCTTTTGTAATGGGAACTTCAGCCATGAACCGTATTCATAAGAAAGAAAGATTGTTCTCATCCCCTCCTCTTCTGTTTTCCGTTATATATTTGTTTTGTATTTTGTAGGGTAAGAATTACTTTTCTGCTTATATTACTTTGTAATGTAACCAGTACGACTAATTGTGTTGAAGTGCAGCCAAGAACAGTCTTGGAGAAGGTTGAGGCCATTGATCATTCCTGAGTGGTTTCTCGTGAAACAAGTGCTATTAGAAAAGAGTTTAGTATGCTTTCTGTTTGCACTTGTGGTGTCCACTACTACCTTACCCCTGCTCAGCCCAAGGTTTCCAGCTGCCTCTAGGACTTGGGATATTGTTCCCATAACAAAAACGTTAAGGGAAATTGAAAAAATACAGTCAGTTTCTGACATTCAAAATAGGCATTTTCTGGCTAAGGGTGTAGTCAAGTGGAGTCAAGTGGTAGAGCACCTGCCTAACAAGCAGGAGGCCCTGAGTTCTAAACCAGTGCCACCAAAATTATACTCTCTCTACAACAAAATTAGAGATAAGGGCAAAGTAGTTTCTGCTGGGTATTGAGGGGGTGGAGGGGAGAGGGAGGGGGTGGAGTGGGTGGTAAGGGAGGGGGTGGGGACAGAGGGGAGAAATGACCCAAGAGTTGTATGCACATATGAATAATAAAACAATTTAAAAAAATAGGCACTTGCTATTAAGCCATAGGCTTGAATGCCAAATTTCCCCAAATCAGGGACTGAAACCTACCCTGTCTGTTCCTAGAGGATTGTGGGGAGCAAGACAGAGAAAAGGAAAGGAAGAAGGCAGATAGCCTTAGTCACAGCTTTCTGGGAGAGACAGAGAGAGAACACAGGCACCAAGGGGATTTGCTCCAGTGTTCTGTTTGGAGGTCCAGGAGGAGATGGCCTTGCAGGCTGACCTGTCGTGACACTGGGAACAGTCATGCTGTACAGTAAGCTAGGAATCAGAGAGTGGGCCAAGTCGCTCCTGCTTCTGGAGGGACATGGATGGGGCCTAAAATTTTCCTTGCACTCCTGGTGTTGGCAGAGGAGGGAGACACAGCACAGCAGATGGGCCAAGAGGAAAGGAGGGGTGTTGTGGCTCAGAGGCGCTACCCTACCTGTGAGAGATAAGAGAGGAAGTCAGGTCAGCCAGGAAGGAACGCCTGGCCAAGTGTAATGAATAATTTATTTTGACCTGATACAGGAAGATTATAGTAGGGGACACATGACCCCATTTTCCTTAATAACAAAACCTGAAGGTTGTCCTTCAGGAACCTTGTGGTCATCACACTGACTGTGGGAATAATAGAGAATCTTGACTTTTTTCCATCTGCTTCTCTATTTTCATAATATATTTCTTAATGAAGTGTTTGCTTTATAAAAAGAAAACCTAAAACTATCTTCAAAAATTAAAAAACCCAGAATTGTACCAGACACATTATTGTATATCTTTTAATATTATAAAGCCATCCATGTAAGTTTACAGACAATAAATCTCTTTTGAATTTCTTGAGTACATGTAATTTCTTTAATACGTGTAGAGCCATACTTTCTGGCTCAGTCTCCTTTTTTCTTTTCCTTCCTCATGTATGGCTCCTATCCTTTAACTCCTCAGGAAAGGTGTCAGTGATCCATGCATCCCTGGTGTGTGCCCATTACCCATCTATGACTGGGCATGACATCATACAAATGTATATGAATACAAACATTTGTATGCATACACTTAAATATATTTACAAGTGTTTTTTTTTTAAGTTTTGTATTACAAAGATGGGATCAGACTATGGACATCTTCTGTATCTTATCTTTTTTTATTCTGTACCACCTTCTGGACATCCTCCAATTCAACTGGCATACCTCCTGTTCCCCTTTTTTAATGGTTTGTAATAATCTCTGATGTTGTCATGTTATGATACAGTTATCTCCCGGGCAGAGTCTTGAACATTTCTTTCTTTTTGATTCTTGGATTTGGTGGCATTTGACCACTGTCATTTGAAAGCTTATTATATGTTCTATATATTTTATTTGAAAATATTTAGCAATGAAGTTTTATTGATCTGATGTTAATATACCTACAATTTTATTTACTATGTCTAATGATATGCTTTTGCATTTTAGGGCCAAGACAATACTTTTTGGTTCATGTGAATGGTGTATAGTGCCAAACCAAATATTTGAGTCTCCATTACGTCAGCTATAGACTTTAAAGAACAGCTCACTACAAAAGTCTTTAATAGAACTATCTATGGAGGGATTATAAATGGACCAAAATCAAGAGGGTGGTGAATTCTATTTCAATTAATCGATTGTTGGAAAATGTGCTTGATCTTCAGAAGGCAATAAAGTTTCATTAAAATTTTCATTGCAATGACTATACTTAGTGTTTTACATTCAGGTATATCCCATATCTGATTCTTATCAACAAACTATAGCAATTACTTAT